GTGGAGACCATGCTGCTTCTTGCTCGATCTACACCGTGAAAAAAGAAAACAAGACGGATGATTCATCGTCCTAAGTTTGAACCACCTGGATGACCTTTCTGGCTGTCTCTCTCAGATCACCCAGCAGGTGCCTTGGCTCTGTGTCAGAGGATTTTGCTCCTGTCACTATGAGGCAAGCTTTCTAAACCTCAGCACATTGGGCTCAGGGAAACCTTGTTTCAACCAAATTGCTCTGGTCAGATGCTGCAGCCTAGGATATTTCCATCAATAAGTAATGTATCCCCTTTAAAAATTTCCACTTTCAGTGAAAACAGTTGGGAATGCACTGCACATGAACTGAGGAGACCCTCTCCCTGCTCTGACTTGCAAATTGAGCCTCACCAGAGAGACTCTTTAATTGGCGTGAAGGATTTGAGCTTTGCAGTTCTGCTCCTCAGGCCTCAACTGGGGAAGGAAGACGTGAAGGTGCTGTGAAATGCAGTCGTGACTTTGCATGGAAATTGGCCACAAAGCAGAGCAGTCCCTGATCCCTGGGAGGCATCCTTTGTTGTCACCCTTTATGGGGACTAGAACACAGCCAGGACAAAAACCTGTGCCAACGTGCCTTTTAACTGGACCTCATCATCTGGATCAGAGAAATTTCTGCATTATAAATCCATTAAAAATTTTGTAGTCACCTCTTTGGAACTCTAAGACACTCCTAGGAGAAATAACAGCCATAAAAATAAATTTGGAACACTGTTTTTGAAGTATATCATCAAGAACAAAGGAAAAATGAGTATGAAAATTTCCTACAGCTATTAGGTTCAGATATAATTTCTTTGCAAAATTTAAGGGGTGGGGGTGGGCAATGCAGAGCTATTCTTAGGCCCTGTCTTCTCTCAAGTGAAACCTTGGTGGTTGATGGCATAGACTAGGTGATTTACCTTATAATCAGCCCCTGTTTAATTGTCAAACGGATCAGAGTATGTTCCCTATAGAGGGTGCTGTGACCTCGTCATGTAAGTTCAAGTACACTATCTTAATCCTGCAGATGGGAGTGGGTCAGACGCCCTCAGAGTGTAATCAGCAATTATTGCAATCATGTGGGTGAAAATTTAAAAAGGTCTGTTTTTCTCCCAGTGGGGTAGGAGCTAAAAGGAGACAGCAGCATGGGTCTCAGATTCAGGACACCTGCCAAATAGTTCCCTTTTAGTTCTGTTATGCAGAATGCACTGGGCCTTCTGAATGCTACACAGTTGTATGGGTAACTGTTGGGAAAATGGCTTAACAATTTGAAAGAGACCTTTAAAAGAGAGTAAGTAGGAGTAAAGGGAGCCCTGTCTCTCCTCCCTAAGGAGCCCACAAAGCCAGTGTGGGCCAGCACAGGGCTAGGTCACACCAGTCCCCAGAGGCTGAGGAGGGTGTGTTTGGGGCCGTACCTGTGTCTTGTGAGGGGCTGACGCTGTAACTGTCACTCTCCTTGTCTACTGATCCTGCAGCCCTGGGTGTTGGCAGCCTCCAGTCTGTGGTGAGGGTGTGTGCTGAAATGGTGGGGTGGGGTCTGTTGAGGGTCCACTGGCTGGCATAGCGGTTTCTTGCGGTGGGCCCAGCCTTTGCGTTCTTCCTGGTGGTAGGATCTGTGAAGAGTCAAGAATCATGTCTGTCTGTGTCTTCAGAGGAGTGTGGTCAGCTGGGATCATGTGATGTGGGCAGTTCTCCCCACCCGGCCCAATTAACCCATCGTGGCCCTCCAGGAAGTCCATCTTGACTCGTCCTGTCCAGAATACTCTTTTCCTTTATCTT